ATGAGTCTCTGAAAATGTTATGTGCCATTTTTAAAGTGAAGGGAACTCACAAAAAACCATAGAGTTGCGTAGGTTTGATAATGGTCATTCTAGGAATGCTTTCTGTAGCCAGGGGTTGTACACTTCAATCAGATCGATTTGAGAGAATGATCGTCTCTTTTAGGGTAGCCGTGTGTTCGTGAATGAGCGGTTGGGGGTAACGGTAGGAAGTGGGTTTCGCATCCAGTCGCCGATAGTCACAATGTTCAAGGGAGATGTAAATGGGCCGTTTTGATGGCGGAATAATTTCCAAGTATATTATGTGCTCAAATTAGATTTTAGGAAACATTAGTTTTTCGATAACCCATCGGTGCGCTTCAGAGAATACAACTCTTAACCAACCAACCTAAGCTGTTACATTAGCTTCCCCCTAGAATCGACTTCCGTAGGAACGTCGGTTCGATTAACCTATCTTTCGAAAACACCTTAGTTCTATTTCTCATCCCAGGGGAAAATTATCAACTCGCTCACTGTTTGACTTACAATCAATGACGACTAACGCTGTCAGCTGTCAACGATAGTCCATGGATGTCTCTTCATTTACTAGCTTGTCATCTTATTTTGTAGCATGTGATTTCTTCTACAACTATCGCTGACGGTTCGCTGCGTGCTTTCAAGAGAGTGTGAGAATGTGGAATAAGAATATCTGAGGAAGTGCCGCGAGCGGGCTACCCAACACCATGTTGGTGAGGTACTTCTTATATATCTATATACATTTTTCACGTAGACTGGCTATACATATATGCCATATGAACTAATTCTAAAATTTTTCGGTCGAAGATATGATTATTAGCTTGATACGATTAATACTACTATTAATAAGTGGTTTTTTTAGACAAAACATTTTGGGTTAAACCATGGTCAAGTACTCATCATTTGTTTTCATGTTTAGGAAACTTACGTTATGACTTAACCTGTTTTCCTGCAGCATGCTTTTTAGTGTGACCATATAACCCATCTTTATTGACAATATTCAGATTTTTTTAATTTCTCACATCTAAGAATCAATAACCGTGAAGATATAGTACAGTCCGTTACTGTAAGGTTACTATGTTAGCCGCATTGATTCCACATACCTCATTTTAAACAACTTATAAAGGAACTGTTAAGTAATCATAACATTGAACTGACGATATGACTATCGTGGCTATGTTAACGTCAAACAAATTATTATTAGTGGTCCATACAAAATCCTGGAACTTAACACTAGCGTTATAAAAAAGACATGTTATGTCAATAACTTATATATATACTTTTTTCTCGTTCGTTTAATTATAACGTAAAATGGAAATCTACCAAACTTGTAGTTTTTTCTATACTGTTCCAATACGGCAATTTGACATATCAGTCCGTCCTCCTGTTATCTTTCTCTCATATGTGAGCAACTTATGGCCAACAAACATCGTATTGAAGGGGGTTTTGGTGAACAAAAACACAGGCCCCACGCACTCGAACCTCTACCATCCTGAATGCTAGACCGTGTGCCTAGCCATTAGACCACATCAAACCACAGAGGAATGACTGCAATTTTTCCTTTTATCGATTAAACATTCATAATACTAATGAGTAATAGGACTTACACACTTCTAAGGTGCAGACAAATTCGTTACTTGAATGAATTGGCGAAATATTGCCTCAATATATCATACATACTTAAATCAAACCAGAAAAGAGTATTTGACACAACTGTACTTGATCCTCATACTCTACACAATTTTTTCCTCCTTAACCGTATATTCTTTTCCGTTTTATGGAGTACAATTATGCACTCTTGGTTACGTACCTGAATATAAAAGGTGGTCGTCATAGGCCCAACGTCATACACTTGATCGGGTTTGACAATGAGTCCAACTTCTAGCAAGTTTACACCTTTACATAAATGCATTATAAAAAAGTATTTTTTTGTTTTCATACCTTTTCGTACACAAGATGGCTACACTATGTCTATTTCCTTCCAGAATACCAATCCTTTCTGGAGGCCAATCACTTACATGGAACCGAAAAATTATCAATTATATTTATGTATTTCCATTTTGTATCTTATTATTTTTATGCAGGCAGTGGAGCAGTTCTTCAGGTTTGATTGGTTTTCACCATTACCTTTGAAGCAGATTCTTCTTTACATTTAACTTGAGGGCGACTCAAGAGGCAGGTGACTAAACACCTGATAGCCGGTCTGAGCATGGAAAAATCGTACCTCATCAACATGGTGTTGGGTAGCCCGCTCGCGGCACTTCCTCAGATATTCTTATTCCACATTCTCACACTCTCTTGAAAGCACGCAGCGAACCGTCAGCGATAGTTGTAGAAGAAATCACATGCTACAAAATAAGATGACAAGCTAGTAAATGAAGAGACATCCATGGACTATCGTTGACAGCTGACAGCGTTAGTCGTCATTGATTGTAAGTCAAACAGTGAGCGAGTTGATAATTTTCCCCTGGGATGAGAAATAGAACTAAGGTGTTTTCGAAAGATAGGTTAATCGAACCGACGTTCCTACGGAAGTCGATTCTAGGGGGAAGCTAATGTAACAGCTTAGGTTGGTTGGTTAAGAGTTGACCCCAAACAACCAAGCATATGCCAAAACAGTATTGTTCAAGTATTCATTCACTTCCTTATTTTGTATTAGCATTATATTCCCTATTATCTTATATTGAATGTTGAGAGCCTTTGTTTGTCTGAACAGATAATCCCACGCTCCACTGTGACTGCGCGAAGATTGAAATAAAGACCTATTCAATACTAGTCTGGTTTCTTCTATCAATAGCACGAGGGTTACCTTAAGGTACGAAAATCCTATGGTCATGATGTGGTGTACAACACTAGTGACTATGCGTGATAATTTTAGTCAAAGTTGGCACACTTCAGAGTACTCGTTCAGCATCCGTTGGAGGTATATATCACTTTTTATTCTTAACCGTAAATGGACATAGCCTGTTACCAGAAAATGAAGCTCCCAATATAGATAAATTGGTATTTCCATCCAGTAACCTCCGTTTTCCTGGGTCAATGAGTAGATTATGTTGTTGTAGCAGGTTCACACCAATGTTAGACAAAGAAAAACTTGCAACAACAAAAATTAGGTGAATGAGTTTGCGTAAATTCACGCCAACATAAATGTCTCTTACCATATGTGGCGAACGGTTTTCCATTTGCCGCCTGTAGGTTGAAGACCGGCTCTTGCAAACGGTCATTAGAATCTTGCGTCAATGTATACGAGATACAGAACTTTCGTCACCACATCGGTGATGTATAAGAGATGACTGTTTCCGCCGGCTACAGTTATAGTAAACGCATCTCGGCGGGGAAGTTTTTCGAAAGATTATCCATGTTAGACAGATTTACGATTGAGAAACCGATGGATTTTCTGAAATTCATAGAAGACGTACCATACGTTTTTGCGGTACCGACATTAATCAGGGTTGCCTGCCTCTCGTAGTATAGGGAGACTTTACCTTATAGTATAAACTGTTGTGACTTTATGTTCGGCTAGTTATAAAGTTTTTTATCCGTCAATCGAAATACGACTTATTCACTCTTGTACTTTACTAAAAAAATGACGTTCGAGCGGTCTGATAACCCATCATCCTTATTGATCCTTTGCTCCTCAAGCCTATCCAGTTTAGTCCAGAACACCAACAATAGCTTCCGCTATGCGAATCGTTTATTTCAGACATACTTGGTTTATATACTAGCCAAACAGACCGCATCGCATCATAAAATAGGAAGTAAAATTTATACACGATAAAGCTGATAGTGGCTTTGAACGTGGGAGATACTAATCAATAAACTGAATATAATTTAAGGACAGTGAATCGTACAATAATTAATCTATAGATGAAAACAAAGCTTATAATAAGGTGAACATAAATATACTTAATCTAGTAACTGAATAGTTTTACAGTTAGAATATATTAGTAATATTAGTCCACTAATGGTTACTCATAATTCAATCTTCGCTAGGATATAACACCTTCCTCTTTTTTGAAGATCGGGAGTTTAGATCCTGATTTTAAAAAGCTTGTTTGTAACTTAAAATTCACCAACGTCATATATATATATCTAACATATACCAAAGTTCTGGGGGTCCTGATAGTCTCCCGAATCCGGTCGGCAGATGTATTCAGTTCGTTTACATCGTTATTGTAGAGTGAGACGAGAACCGCGGGCACTTCTTGGGGTAGCTTGGACAACAAGAGCTGTCTGAAAAGGCTCTAGGCAAAGGTTCGTCGACGAATGGCCTCTCTCATACGCAGCTTTATTTGTTGCTGAGCTGTGTTGGGACTCTACGTTGTAGGAGAGGTCACCTAATATTTGTCGGTCGGTTCATTCCCGACGTCTAAAGATAACCTCCTTTGAAGTGTCGAAATGTTCAGAAATCGTTAGCGTCTTCACAACTGCACGTGATCATGTGAGTCTGTTGCGCCTTACCCATGAAAGTCAGCTTCTACGTAACAGGAGACATAATATACAAATGGGAGAAAAACATTCGAAAATACGAGAACAATTATTTAAAAATATTAAAAAATAATATACTGAGTTACAGCAAGGAAAGAACTAACAGTATATTGCTTGGCATTCCAGATCACGTCGGGCTCATTACTAAAGATGCCACAAGTATTCGGATTTCGACGACTTTACATGTAATATCTTCGCAACCAAACTATACCAGCCCAGTCAAATCAGAGGTTGAAAATCAATGGGTTCGAAGATGTACTTGGAGGGCTATTGACATTTTGAGATCGTCTATTAATTGTAAGGGATACGTAGCACAGCATACCCACTAGTAACCTGGCGAGGACGTGCGATTGTGAGCCTTCAGCTATTTGTGTCCAGTAAAACTAACGAAGTCGGAATTGATGTCAAAGACTCACAAAATTATCTATTTTTGCTAATCATTTGCCGCTACAACTCCTAGGACCCACTTCCTCAGCCTTGAGGCCGATCTAGTACTTAACATGAAACATTGAATGATCTAACACTTCTTTGCAGAAAAAAAATAATTTGATTTCGTGAGAAACTAAAAATGCTTTTGCTTTATTCTGATGAATGTTCCCATATTTATTCCTAAGCTTATTGGCGGTGCTTGAAAAGTAGTTTTACGAATGTATGAGTACAAGTAGTTTGTGAGTGTTCCTGAATATACTACAATTTCCTGTTGCCATTTCGCTATAGGTACCTAAGAATGATCATTGTTTTTCATAATATTTCTGTAGGGAGCCATGGAGCTTAATGGGATATATAGCCAATCATTTGATGAGCAAGTGCCTAATGGGTCTCATAGTACGGGATCTGGAAGCGCAACTCACGATCCAGGTTTGTCCCTACTTAGCAATTTTTCTGTGATTCATATTGTATTCCCACTGGTCAGTATACTAAAAGCAGTACAAAGACAAGAACCACCCAAAAGGTAGACTTGTGGATGTGTTCCTCCCTTTATGCGACCTAGATTTTTCTTCAATCACCTTGATAATAACGACTACTAAATCATCTCTTATTCTAAGTGTGTACTTCGTTCAAATAGGCATTCTGTCTCAATGTTTGGACACGACTCAACTTCAAATGCAGTCTGAATACCAACATGTTTACATACTCTGAAGCCTATTAGTAGGAGGGATCATTAGTTTATGTTTTAAATTCACCATGCACTTGAGACCATCAATCCGATGTTTGTAAACACGACTAAAGGTGACGGGTCATCTTGTCTGAGCCGCAGCTAATCTAACTTCGAAAAATGGATTGAATATATGTCTCTGCGTGTCTGCTATCAAAGAAAATTTAATAGCGTAAGCAAGGTTTTAAGTTTGGATCCTCATGGAAAACAAACTACAGCAGGACTGCTACCGACCTTGACTCGGTCGTTTTCAATGTACTTGTAGGGTTTCTACGACTGCATGTGGAAAGTCATGATTCAACAGCTTTTCGTCTGGAACTACGATCGTTCATCACACTCCACCATGTCAGACTGACAGCCCATCTTCCTCACAGTCGTTATCAAGAAAAGCTTGCATACCGAAAGACGTCAAATGTCCTCTATTTAGAGTTGTAGGCTACAGGGCAGGACTACCATCACTGCCGAGTTGTGCACCTCAGATTAGTTCAGTAACGATGATTTATACTAATAAATTGGGCCTCTACCACTCGTGCATAAGCAAATTCTGTTTCGGTGGCCCAGAATCCATCGTTCATGCACAAACCTTACTTACCGAGTGACGGGGATTTCAATAGTTTGTTTGTTGTATTACTGTTTACTCAAGGTTGGAAAGCTTTTTCTGAGATAATGGGTACTCATCTCTATGACACACTTCCTCCAGATCTTGTCTGAAATTGTCATTTATAATTACCTAAGAAAGATGTGCTTTTGCATCTAGTCCAGCCTATGGTTCAGAACAGCTAGTGTATGACCTTGTTATATATGAATTGCTATTGTAAAGAGCTTTCACGATTTCATATGAGTTTCTCAATACTTCCCTAGCACAGTTCCAGAATACCGTATTGCCTTGCAAATCAAAGACAAATGTTTATCAAGAGGTATCTAATCTTACCCCTGACGGGAGATAAAACTTTAGAAATTCTGTCAAAGACGTCTTTGGAGCAAGGCTAGGTGAATGGACACCAACAAGTTACGGACACCAATGTTGAAAATAGTTCCAAAGAAGGAACGTTGTTTATTCACTTGAGTTCCATACTGGTTTACTATCAGTTTTATTACTTCAACTTAATTTGGATTTCAGACATACTGTCTCATGTCCGTTTGTGTATTTTTGTGATCCACTAAATTCTCTTTTGCGTGCTCCTGGAAAGTGCCACAGCTTAGTTCTGTTATTCTCAGTTTTCTGTTGCAGATTTGTTGTGTAACAGCTTAGAACCGATACAAATGTATATTGAGTACTGCATTGTGCATAGCTAGTACTGTCTAGTATGATTACCTTTTCTACCGCTCCATTTTACCAAAACAGAGCTCACTAGACCAAATAGCGCTGATAGCTCCCAACATTACCACGCTCCTTCAAATCAAAGTTCAAGTGCCTCACTGTCAATAGAAGAACGACTCAGGCGCGTTAGAGCCGCTGAACAACTTAAACAGCAGCAACGTTACGCAGCCTACGTAGAAGCCCAACAACAAGCCGAAATGGCACGTATGCGCCAACAAGAGGAAAGAAAGCGCAGAATTGAAGAAATGCGACAAAAGGAACAAATGCGCCGACTTAGTGCACTAGAACGACGTGCAGCCTTGGAATTATCTAATCAAGTAGGCTTTTCCTAATTATTAACTTGTTAATAATTTCTCTCAGTAGTTTAACATCTAATAAGGTATTTGGGTGGTGAGCTTTATGTCAAAATATCTCCTGTTCTAGTTAACACTTGTGAAAGAATTAGGCTTAAGAGTTAGATTGTAGTCAGAAAGCGACTAACCTACAAAATTAACTTTTTGCATTTCCCAATGGTATTTGGTCATCCTTATTTTACTACTAATAGTGCGTATATAAGTATATCACTTTACTAGAAATCATCTGGCAAGTGATCGTTTTTGATATCAAATCACTCAGGATTTAGAGTCAATGATTCTGTTCCATCAGCAGCCATCACACGAACACATCATCTCATTGCATTTCATCTATCGATAGGCATTCCATTCTAACAGTCCGAAAACCGTTTACCATTTATTTTAAAACCCTCCGTGATGGGAACCACCAGCTGCTTTTCCTCTGCCAAGTTCCACTTATATTTCTACCTATAAATAACATTTCTAAAGATATGTTACAAGTATAAGTTGTGCTAATTTCATCCCACTAAACACAGGGTAGTGTGTTCGATTTAGTGTTTGAGGGCTAGTGATACTATTCAAGTGCGCGAACGAAAGTATGTGAAAAAGGGCTTTCTTGATATTTTTCGTTTTCTACGTGTTACTTATATTAGTGTTAGACAGACTTCAGTTAATCCTGTCACTAGACTATTTTCGATTTTACAATAACATTCATTTATGGTTTAAAAATGCTGCAGAAACTGCGTGTCGAAATTTCGATTTGTGTTGACGCTTTAAATGAGCTTCTAATATCAGTAAGTCAGTTAGTAACAACGTAGAACTTCGTACGTACGTACATCAGTTCGAGTTGCCATACAGAGATGCAGTTGTCGATTCAAATCCCGTAGTTGTGGAAGTAGTAAAATTATATGCAGTGATCGAAAAGATTAAGACTTGAAGATGTTATTCAAGGAGTATAATCCAGTGAAATAAATTTAGAAACGGACACGAAGAGTCCAGAAGATCAGAATTTGGGAGACCACAAGGAGTGATGCACCTGCGCTATTGCAAACGGTTTTGAGCCATGTCATTCAAGGTCTCTAACCATCGGTTGCTATCGTCTCGCGGATCCCAACCAGGTATTCTACACCTACCAGCATGGCTCAGTCCACTTGTCAGTGACTTCATGGACTTGTGCCATGTTTTGGTCTGGCCACCCCTGGCTTTCTTCCAACCTACTCCTAAGCCATTGAACATCGCACGTCGGGGCAGTCGGTGGTTGGGCATACGTAACACGTGTCCCAGCCATCTCAACTGATAAAGTTTCACCACTTCATCAATCGATTTGCCATCCTTATCTAGTACCCGTTTCCTAACAACTGCGTTACTTATTCGATGGTCCCAGGATATACGAGCAATGTTTCGAAGACACCTATGACCAAATAATAGTAACCTACGAATGTCTTCTACTCTTACTGGTCATGTTTCACTGTCATAAAGTAGGACGGAACAAACTGCTGCGCAGTAAACCGGTCCTTCGTTTGATAGACAGATATCTCGCCTGCGCCATAAATGACGCAAGTTGGCAAGAGCTAGTCGAGCCTTCTGTATCCGTGCTGGAATTTTGTCACACACCAGGCCACAAGGGCTGATGAGACTTCTGAGATAAGTGAAGCGGTCGACACGCTCAACTACTTCACTCCCTATCATTAGTTCGGGTGTCGATGCAACCCAATCTTGAAGAAACATTTCGCATTTCGAGGGAGAGAATCGCATGCCGAACATGGTTGGATTGTTGCTTATAGTGGTCAGAAGACTGCATTTTGTCAGTGTCTTCACCAAATAGAACTATGTCATCAGCATATTTGAAGTCAACAAGTGAATCTCCCGGTAAAAGTTCAACTCCTGGAAATTTAGATGGAGAAAATGTTGTCTCTGAAAGCACGTCAACGACAAAGTCATACAAGAATAGAGAGAGTGGACAGTCCTGACGAACACTACTGGAGGTAATCAATTCTGATGACAGTTCGTCATAAGCTCTCACTCGGCCAGTTGTGTTTGAGTAGAGAGCCTTTAAAAGGTTAATGTACTTCTTTGGTACTCCTTACAGTGACAAACACTGTCACAGAACCTCACGATCAACAGAGTCATATGCCGCCTTGAGGTTGAGAAATATTACTATTGTGGGGCGTCTGAATGTGTGTCTATGTTCTAGGACCTGACGTGATGTGAATATCTTGTCTATACAGCCACATCCAGGTCGAAAACCAGCCTGGTTTTCTCTAGTCTGCTCTTCGCGAGGTTTAGTTAGGTGTCAAAGTATTATTGAAGCTAATATTTTAGACATTGTGTTAGTCAAACTGATTCCTCTGTGATTGTCACAAGAGGACTTTTCTCCTTTCTTATAGACTGGCATAATCAGTGATTGAGACCAGTCAGATGGGATTACGTTCAGTTCCCAAATTCTACCTAAGACCTCAGTCAGTCTCACTGCTAATACTGAACCACTATCCTTAAAAACCTCAGGAGTAAACCTGTCAGGGCCTGCTGCTCTCCCTCGTTTCAGACTTCCTATGGCTTTTTCAACTTCGTAAAGGGACGGAGGACTTATATTAACTTGCCATTCAGGTTGACTAGAGATCGTGGGAAACCGAAGTGTGGCTGAAGGCCAGTTGAACTGATCCCCAAAGTGTTCTGCCCATCGATCCAATCTCCTGGATTGAGAATGAATAATATGTCCATCTTTCTCTGAGATTGTTTCGCTAACGGTCGGGTTCCTAATGCCGGTTTCCTTAACAAGTTTGAACAGTTGTCTGCTGTTACCTATTACCGCTGCCTTTCCCATCTCTTGCTTTCGCTACCCACCACTGTTCACGATCATTGCGTAGGCTTCTTGTCAGCTTGCGCTTAAGCTGACTCTGCTCTTCGTTATGTTCAGAGCCAGATTGGATGAGTTTTCGAGCATCTATCAGTGCGGTAGATGCTGCTGAGATCCAGTGTTTCTCCCTAACTTGTGGTTAACCGTACTAGCAGATATCACTGCTGTTTCCACAGCTTTGCGAATATCATTCCACGCTGTTTCGGGGTATGCATTACATAAATGGCTGCCTAACTGTTTTTTTCTAGTTGTTGCTGAAATATATTCTTAGCTTGGCTATCAATAAGTAGGACCCTACGAGGCTTCCTTGCAGCGCCTTTCCTACGTCCAGTAAGAAGCAGACAAATACGCCCTTGCATTAGAGCATGGCCTGAATCTAGGCATGTGCTCCAGAATGAGCGACAGGCTTCAATCGAGTCCCTCCATCGGTGGCTGATAGCGATGTGATCTATTTGGGTCCAACGTTGGGACGAATTCGGTGTTCGTTATATCGAAAGATGTTTTTCCTTATGCTTAAATATAGTATTTGCAAGAAGCAGGCGGTTATCTGAGCATAGTTGCAATAGACGGTCGCCATCATCTGTTCTTTGCGCTACGACACTATAAGATCCACTCAGGTGTCCTTCCCCTTCTCCTAGTTTACCTAATTGAGCATTAGTCACCAGCCGCTATCACTACACCAGAACGCCTAGTTTTTCGGAGGAGGTCGAAAAGCTTTCTGTAAAACTCATCTTTTAAATCATCTGAGCTGCAGTCAGTGGGAGAGTATTCAGAGACGACGAAGAGGCAACGACGAGTGTCACTATCTTTCCGAGTCCTCACTGTTCCGTTTAGTCGGACAGCGCACAAACGACTGTCTACTGGGATGCAGTCTAAGAGAGCTAGTTCTGTTCTGGGACTCAATTCTATACTTACGCCGGCGAGGCCACAGGAAGCAGCATCAGGGCTTCCAGATACACGAAGCATGAATCGAGATGGTTCTTTGTTTTGATATGGTGATGTCAAATGAATGACACTACTCGGATCCTGTATGCGCGTTTCGGAGACGCAGCACACATGGATAGCGCGAGATTCTAAAGTCCTAACTAAGGAAGCCTGTTGTTCTATTTGTCACAGTGTTTGAACGTTGAAAGCTCTTACATGTAGTTTGGAGTATGGTTTCAGGAGACCAGGAATAAAGTTCTGCGTTGTCGAATCGTTTGCACTAGCGGTGTGACGTGATGAAGGGACGTGAGAAGGGTTATTAGGTGTGAGGAGGATTTGAATGTGACCGACTTGGTCTCTTGTGATGTTACGAGTATGATGGCTGATATCACTTCCTGGTTGCTCACACTGTGGAAGGGTATTTCTTGAGGAACCTGTAAAAGAAGTCGGATAAGTGTTGGTCTTGACGACCTGGGAGCGTGACCGCAGAACCCGAGGGACAACTGCCTGAGGCCAGTCGCGCACAGCCTTTTTGTGGGTAGTTTTTAACCTGTTAGCTCCGTTCTTCGAAAGGCTTTACCACCGGAGACGGAAATCCGTGAGGTGAGGTGTGACACTTTTCGGGTGGACCTTTTCTAATCCTTTCCTTCCTTGTGAGAAGGCAGCGTCGCTGCAGTTTCTGGTTGTCCGAGGGAAACGCCTTACTGCTGTCATACTCCTCTACAGTCAGCAGTACGACTTCGCCCTCAGACCTTGAGTTGCTGCTTTTAGTCTAACCGTTCTCCAATCGACCTGCCTAGCATGGTAGAACCTGCAGGAACATATGTTCCAGCCAATATAGTTCGGTTGGTCATCACGATAGGCAAGCTCGACCATCACGTTAAGGTAGCAGCTACGGTCGGGGCTTCTAATATAAGCTACTTCCGATTATATTTTTTCGAATAAAGTAACTACTTACAGGAGAAAGTTTAGTCGAAAATACACGTTTATATATTGATTCATACACCCATTTTTGATTAATAATTAGAATAAAATCACATACATGAAAAATAGTTAGTTATAACAAATCATATGCTGAATGTAGTTTATGTTAACTTAATACAAGAATATCGTGTGTTATACATAATAAAATGTTATACGGGGAAACAAAACAAATACTACATTGAGTAACCATTACATTGATTTAAAACGGAAGTAATGTTGAACAGAAACCATAATGAGTAAATCAATATAATTTTGACTTTTCGTCCCGTCATATCATCCATCTATTTTTGCGTTTAAGACAAAAGATAAATTTAATTTCACATTATTTAATTCAAGCAAAAGTCATCTAATTAAAGCGTAATTATTAAGTAGAAATTATTACTTCGCTTCGGTTTGAGATGTACTTCAGATAGATTCAGAGTATCTTTTGTGTTTTCACCGGACATACGAGTTTTATGTTTAGTTTCTCCACTCCTTCGTACAATTTTCGAAGGATTTTTGATATCTTTTCAAGTTTATCCGAATCCTCTTATAATCTTTATTATTGCCACAAACTCATTTTTTTAAAAATCTCTTTTCAGGCACGGATAGAACGACTTCGAGAACGGTCGGCTAACCGTTCAGGAAACAATACGTTTCGCCGCCAGTTTGCAGAACATGATCACTCTGGTCGTACTGCAAGTGCTTCTCCTTCTTTGGGAACCTCGCGAAATCCAAGCACTCTTATGACAACTTCGTGTGTGGTCGCCTTTGGAAGCAGCGCTCCGCGCTCTATATGTACGCAACCAAGTGCAGCAGCTTTACGTTTGAAACAGGCTTTTGAAGCGCGATTAGCTAGCTACCTTACCGGTCGACATAGTGGGTGCTTTTTTACAGCAGCTGCAGCACCTTATTATTCGTGCTTTATAGATACATCACATGGACCTAGGCCTCAAATCTCTGTGTATAAATCGAGGCCCTGTAATCGAGGTGTAACGCAGTCTAGGCGAGCTGCTTCAGCTCATGCCTCTGTTTTGCGTCATACTAAGTCTTCATTCACTCGGGTTACTCATGCTCGGCGTCAACAAAATTCTCTTATTAACAGAGACACTGTTTTCAAAAATGGTCAACCTATCAGCACTAAAGTCTTGAAATCCCCAAACACTACCACAGTTCCTGATGGGCACAATGTCGAGAGTAATCGAACCAGTGAAGGTTTGTCTGCATCCCTATCGTGCCTGCTACCCCCGCATACGAAAACGTTGTTTTCTCTGAAACGGAGTATCATATGTCATGCATGCCGATTCTTATATCTCTCATATATGCTTTTATATATGTTCAGCTTTCATTCATTCATGCGGTGAAGCTTCTCTCATACTTTTATTCGGGTTTTCTCAAGCTAATTATACTTGCATGCTACTCTTTAAACGTAGATATTTACACTAATGTAGTCTAAAATGTAATTTTATTATTTTGGTAGGATTGAAAGTTAATTTATCATTTCGCCACCATATAATACTCAGCATTCTCATTAAACTGGTGATTAACTTTTTGTCGCTTGTTTAGTGCACTCACGATTTATCTTAATCCGCATTTTAACTTTCTGTTCTGGAGTTTTTTAAACATGCATCCGTGTGTTTACAAAATTAACTTGAATCAATTTAACCAGAATCTTTCTTGTAGTATTTCAATATTATTTGTTGCAAAAGCTATCATGCTATTTGGATATTCTTGTCTTATTATAAATTTATTATCCTTTATTTAAAATATCTCCAAATTAAAAGAGTTATTCAGTGTAAGTTTTAAAGACTAATCATGGTTGTTGGCTTCCAAAATTTATGTTTCACATTGATTACCCAGTTATCTTTATGCATACGTTAAGTCTTTTATAGTGAGGCTGTTGTATTTAATAATAATGAACCTGGATAATAGTTTGCTTTCAATGTTTTAGTGTTGTTTGCAAGTTGACGGTTTAGTTATTGTAATGCCTAAAAGCCCCTAAATGCCCTGGTACGGCCGAGAGTGGGAAGAGTCCGCTCTCCCTCTCGAAATGCTCTCATATGGCCACGCGTATATATCCTCTGCCAGGGAAGTCCTACTCACTGCCTTCTCGTGGGAGGGATGTTGTTTACAGAATTGAGAGGATGGAGAGCGGATGTCCGGCGATTTAGCCGGGTTGGTGGACACTGAGAGTCCACCTAGGGGAGTTGGAAAACCCTGATTCCAAACCAATGGTGCACATGGGCTCCAGCATCCTCAGGAAACAAATGGCGTATGAACCAATCGTTGGTCACCGGCTACCATGGGACTGCATCTCCTTACGATGCTCCATTGCCTTGTGGATCAGACCTTCAGGTCGAAGGCTCTGGGTGTGGCTCCCTAAGATAACCACGTGCTTCGGTTTGGGCACCCGGGCAGTATCCCAGCCCTCACACAAATCGAATGAGATTTGTGTGGCGCATATGTAACTGGTGCCCCCTCGTACTAGTAATTATGTGTTCAAATAAATAAAATAAATGCCTACAAAGTAAACTAAGTAACTAATTACTGCTCCATCATAAAATAGGATTGTCAATGTGATGAGTAGACTTCAAGTTATAGATATGTTATAAATGAACTGTCATAAATCTGTGGTTTTTAATGTAGCAACCACTGAATCGAAAGACAAGTTTAAGTTAAATGTGCCTTAGCTTCATATGTTTACCATTAAGTTTGTGTATATTTCTTCTAGCATCTCGTTATCAATTTTGTTCGCTTTCTGATGTGTTCACATGTATATGAGTGCGAGTAAATACGGTTATTTTCTAGCTTTCATTGAATTTGCTTAAAACTCATTAATTAAACTATAATACATTGCTTTTCATATTTATTTTCGGTGTCTGTCATATCACATCCTGTGATTAGTTGAAAGTGTTATATAAATCAATAATGTGGTAATCTGCCTGCCTGTTTATTCATGAAAAAGAAATCTGTTTGTATCTTCATGTTGTACTGTTATTTGCTACCTAATTGATTTATTTTTATCTTTTTGGTTTAGATCTATTCAAATCTTTTGATAAGTTTAGTTTGTAGCTTACTAATTTATCGTAAATATATGGGATTGAGTTAGCCATGTTGACAGTTTAGCAGTGAATAGAGATATTAGTGGTTTTGTATTTGTAGTTTTTGGTGTTGCTGATCACTTATTAAAAACAACGTATCACACACGGAATTTCGTAGTTCATAGTCTTTCAATTCTATCAATAACTTATTCGTCAGTTGTCAAGTTAATCAGCTCGATGTTTGATCATTTTTACATGATTACCTCACGTCTTAATTGGGGTCTAACAGTACTCAACTCATATTTTATTTAGAATCAGGATTACAGAGTTTAAGCAACATTTGTGTGTATTGTAACTAGTGTATAGTGCATTTCCAAATATGTTTTATTCGGTGTACTCGTCGTTTTCATCACCTCAGCTTATTTCATCAGATCAATCTGGTCACTTTATCCATTCATCGTGAAAATAATCTCTTAATTAAATCATCGTAGGTGTTTTAATTGCATGCCGATTTTTGTCATCATACATATGTTTTTTTTTAAACTCCTAAATGGTCTACCACTTTTAATTTTAGTAATTTCAAGTCGATCTAATTCATCCAACGAATGTGATAAAATTGGGCGTCTTAATCATCATCCCAAAGTGCCAAAACATATTACTGCACCCGCAAATACATCGAAAACGAAAGAACATACAGGTAAAATATCGCTTTCATGTTTGTGATGTTATTACTATACTCATTTTTCTCATTTCCCTCATTAATTCTTGACCAAAAACTCACCTCTCTGACACCATTCTTGGAAAAAATACGCTTATACTCAAACATGTCTTTGTTCAAAATATACTGATAGCTTTTAATATCTGTAAACGTTTTAAGTTCCGTGGTGTTTATAATCGACTTTTTTTTTCGGATTACGAGCTCTCTTAATAGATTTCTAAGCACTAGTGTAGTTGCGTTCTCAAATCTCATTTCTGTTTGATGATGCCCAGAAAGACAATGAAAACTTCATACTTAAATCATCCAGCTCAGAGATTGAAATTCCTCCAAAACCACTCATTTGAGTCACAAATCTTCCCTATCATCTCTAGATATTCCCTCGATTAAAAAGTGGATATTTTGAAGATGGTTATCAGTGGAATTTACTCTTTTTGGGCAAATCAAGAAAAAGGGTTGGTACATTTAACTAATGAGTCTTAAATAGAACAGCATTCTCATTCTAGATTCTAATGTTAGCTGTTATCCAAACTATTTACTATCTTGATATCTCTCATCGTTCATATTGAACGTGTACTCTTTGTAGTTTTAATTACTTGGGTTATTCTATATTTTGAACTTTATATGTCAGAATTAGTACCCACGGAACATTTAACAACTTTTACAGTTTTTCTCATTCTCGTCTTTGACTTGTTTACTAGCTCTACTTTAAATTTGTCAGAGTAATTTCTCGTGGAATCAGTTACACTAACTCATTTACATTCATTAATTAGCCATAGATGAATAGTCATCCACCATAGAGAATGAACAGTTGTCGTGAGCTATCATGAATTGTTTGAAGTTAGACATTACACCATTGTGTGACGGCTCAATGGTCTAAAGGCTAGGCGTCTGCATGTGAGACTTACTGTCTTTTATTCGATTCTTTGCGGTGGGATTGTGGATCCCCACTGTTGATGAGTCCTATCCTAAGACAAAACAGGTGTTTATCGCTCCCAGGTTTCCCGTGGTAGTCCATCTAAAATCAGTTCGTAATTTAAATTATGAAAACCCCCTTGTCGTAAAAATAGATCAGAGTGACGATTATCTCCAGAGTTCGTTTGTCTCTAGATTTTCTAGTAGAATCTGTTTTCAGTAATCTTCATATTCATGAAATTGTAATCAAATCACAAAATTTACCTTAACGGTATAAAATTCTGTGATCATGGTATTTGTAATGATTTATGGAAAAGTGATTTACTTCCTTAACTTTTTCAAATTTGTCCAAGTGTTCAGTTGTATTTCTAAATTATTCTAAATGATCATTTATGTGAAAAGTTCGATGTTGTTGTTGCTGTAAAGAAACAACTCATACAATGTTATTCAAAATAATGAATTGAAAATTCGCTTAAATTTTCCAGGTCGGTGACACATTGTTGTTACATCTGATTTATTCAATAGCGAATTTTACACCAAACGCCTTAGATGTTTTTTTCTTCAATATTCTGTTGATGTTTTATATTCTCAATGACTTCATTTAGTTAAGTGTGCATCCTAAATGGTTTGTGTTGTGATTTTTTTTCTTTTTCAACATTTTTTATGATAAATAAAAGGGACTTAGTTTGAACACAATTTACTTTTCAATTTGAATCTATACCATTCAGTTTTCACTTAGTTTCATTTACGAATCGTATAGTGACACGATAGCTGACATTCTCCAGAGTACAATATTCAGTTAATTGATGAATATTTTTACCGTGAGATCATTTGTATATAGTTTTTAGTTGTTTAACAATATATCATAGGATAATTTTAAGCTAAATAACATTTAACTGAGTCACTTAGGAGAAAATAGCTCATTTTGGTGTTCTCGTGTAATTGATTAAGTTTTGTGTTAATTCATTAATCGAAATCTCATTTGGCATATTGCTTCATCTTTTCCTTCAAAGAATAAGCCGATTATTTAAGATAATCAACTGTGATTTTACTACTTGTGATTTTTCTAAATCAAGGAAATTCTATGAATATCAATACCTAATCTCATCTGTTATAGCTAAGTTGGAAAATATGGTCCCACCTTCAGATTCCACTAGTTCTACACGTTCCAACTCTATTGAGAGACGATCTAGACAACCAACTATTTCTGTATTCGAACGTTTAACAATGTCTCGTTCTGTCACTACTTCTGGAAACGTTACGACAAATAAAGCAAGACCTGTCCATTCGTCTGCTAGTACTGTGCATGTGGCAAAAAGACCCGGTGAGTTTGCTTGTAATATGAACCTGAGGCTTACAAATATGATTTTTACTCTAAGACAGCTTTTTATTTAGACTACATCCATTTTGATTGTTCTATTTTAAATCCACTGGAAGTTTGTAGTTAAAACTCAATGTAACATACTAAAATACAGATACTTTGGCACTATATGTTGTCTAAAAAAGTGTAAAATGATCATATTGCTTCATGAGTTTAATATGTAACCCAAACCGATGCGACTTTGTCAACTTTATTCTGATTCCCAACTTAAAGTCACCTCACAGCAATGCTTCTCTGTTTCAACCTTGTCGCACTGTCTTTTCAGTTCTAATAGTATATAAAGAGCTATGAGTGTCAGTGTCACAGTTTAGGTGTTTTTCTCAGTAGCAATTCATTACGGAATTACAAAATGTCGATTTAGTTACTTTTAAAAATGTTTGTCTATTCACTTAATTTCACGCTATACATCACTAATTTGGCTTTCTTGATAAGAGATTTACAGTTCACCAACTTTTTCAGATCAGTAGTTGTCTTGATAAGTTAAACTGTGATTCCATTGTACCATGCTTCTCATGTATTGTATGAAGTTCAGTAAATAAAACATGATTAGTAAGTTATAAAATCTCATATTTTTTCGCTCGTTATTTTCTACCATGTGAATGCAATTTTTACACATGATTTTTTACGTAAATAAAATAAAGATTTTTATAGAAGCATTATAATGAACCACGTTACTTAATCACATAACCATATAATAATCGATTTAAATGAGTTAGTGGACTTTTTTTCTTCGTTAAAATACTTCTGGATTACAGAGAACATGTGTACATTGTACATAGCAAATACGTAAAACTACGTGGAAGAATAAATAATTGATACAAAAAAACTCACGAAACAGCACTTGAATTATCTACGACGAAATATGACGACAACGAGGTAAAATTAGTCATTAAACATAATGTGGAGTTTTAACCATTGGAAAATACCTAGGATTAAGGAGTTATAATTTTTCTGACAAATTGATCTGTTCAATGTAAAATCAAACATGATCAACATTCTCAGATAATTTGAACTCAGTCCTTCTCAACAAGATGAGAAAAATTAAAAGGATAATGATCACTTTCTATGGACAAGAAACTATATATACAAAGCAAAGCGCAATTTAAAAAAAACTTACCTCAGAAGAGAGACATGTGTGTGTGTGTGTGTGAACACACCTGTATACAAACTTGTTCGTATTCACTTTTATCGTATGTGTCCTTTCTTTTTCAATTCACCGGCTGGTGTACGTAGAATACATAAACATCACCACCAACCTAACAAGTATTTAGTTTTAGTATAGGGGATCATGAATTGATCTTAGTTGGGCAACTTATTGGGAACCTGGGAGCACTAAACAGCTGGTTCGTTCCAGTATGAAACTTGGGAGTGAGCATCCATGACCTTGCATCTGAGAAATAAACCCAAGACTTTCGGTCTCGCCTGCGAACTACTAACCTAAATCCACAATTATGAGAAGTCCCATACTAGGACAAAACTGCCGTCCAGTGCTTTCAGGTATTCAGTGGTGGTCTATCTAAGACCAGTTCGTGATTTAAACTTTGTAAGTACTTATAGTTATTTTTCATCGCTTTCCGTCATCGTAAACTTAATAAGTTGTTAAATTTAAACTGAGCCAGCTGAGGTTTCTGATTATCTCTCTTGTATATTGAAACTATTTTCTGTGTAAATATCAATACTGACTACATTTAAGTTACCGATCCTTATTCGAAGTGTTATTTTTATTACCTCCCTGGCTATGTTATTAACTAACAGTCACTTCAAAGAACACGTAAATATAAGTCCAGGAAATCATTGATTGTTTGTCTGATCTATGTTGGTAGATGCGGATCACCTGATCGAGGTTTACACGATAACAGCAATCTTTGCCGAAGACGTTGATTGACGTGACTAAAAATCGTTCTCACGAACTTGCCGAATTGTACGCCCTGGCTCCACAGGAGCAGTTGAACTGGTTAATACACGTGGATGTGGCAAATTCAGGCAACCTGTCTTTATTCCCATTTACTTTGCTATTAATCATATCAATTTCATCTCGTACTAGTACGGTATGGAGACGTAGTCAACACACATCTATGCTAGGCTCGACGATAATGACTAACCAACTGACTAACTACGTATTATAGGATTACCCGTATTTTAATGACCTTTTAGTTGGTTTCCAGAAGTATGACAATGTGTTTGCATAAGCTACCATCATTTATATTCTTCTGACACTGTACTTATAGATAAACAAGCTGCTACTGTAGTGAACGAGAACACCAGTGAGTACAACCGAATTACAGAATCTCATAGTAAAATCTAAGAACCATACAGTAAATTCTTCATTTACGTACGAAAATATCAATCAGTTGTCTCATACTTTGCTGTTCCTCTATTTCCACACCAATCGCTGTATGTTCTCGTTCTCCTTTCTTTGATCTTAACCTTCTACCGCCAGACATTTCACTTTCGATTGATGATACACACGATTTATATTTGTCGACATATTTAACACACAACACTACTAATAATTAAACAAACAAATATTTTTAAAAATGATTTACACCGTTTCCCCATGTTATTTTAATTACCTTTCCAGAATCTATTCGAGAATCCAAACGTAATGGTAACTCTGTCGTGCCACCTGTGATGTCTAAATCCGTTTCTGGTGATGCGCTACATCTGCGCCACCAGAAGAAACCAGTGCTCCCCTCGAAACCCCTCTCACCGCCCTCTTATCCAACCAGAATCCAGGTTAGTATTTGATTTGTTTGGACATTTTTAAAGTTTGTTTTTACACTATTAATATATCAGGCTGTGTTGCTCTTTTATATATAGCTGTAGTATGATCATTTGTAACATGAACCGCTACGTAGTTCTTGTTATTATTCTGTGTTAGAGTATTATTATCTTTCGTACACAGAACGAATGGGACTTACACACTTTTAGTACACATTTATTTTCATTTCTGAAGTTGAATCTCACTTTATTTTGTTATAAATACTATCATTGTCCGTCTGTATCCTTTCGTCCTTATTGTAATCCCTTATGCTTGAAGATTAGTTAAATACTGACCGTTAGTCAAACGTCGGAGACTTGATGCTTCCTGAAAGCTGTACAAACATACTCCTCTAAACCACTTACATAGACCACTACTCTTAATTGGGGACAGTAAACTGTCGTCATAAGCTATTAATTCCAATAATATGTACTAATATTTTCCTTCTGAATGCCTATCGTTATGTCGTTTTGATATCGTCAAAAATCCATCCATCTATGATTATACACTTTTGTAGAGAAGCATTCAGCTAAGCCTAAAACTGTTTAAATGAATGCTGAGCTTTTCATTTTCAGCGTGAACCTGGAAAATGGTTTATTTGTACAGTAATATTACGATGTTGTAATAACATTTGTCGATAGCTTTATTGGACGTGAATTACTACTCTATTTCTCAAGTTATTTATTGTTTTATTATCAAATTGTCTCAGTTATCTACATTTTAACTCGAAGTATTCGTCTCATTCGTGAAGCGTATGCTAAATACTTTATATAATTAAATCTGTCCAAATATCTTAAGAAAATCGGTTATACGTTTTATCTTTCCGTTTAATGTTTTTGTATAATTTAATGGTTGATATTTCATTCATTTTGAAGGAGCCAGAAACAGCCATTTCCAGTCTTCCTCCGTTACCTCAGTCTTCATCTGAGTCAGAAAGTGTTACTCAAGTAGCTGAAGATATCTCTATTACAAAAGTGCCTTGCAGCGACTCTACTCCACCTCCTTCATCTCAAGTTAATGATGTAAAGAATGAAACTTCGTCCATTGTTGCACAAATAGGTCCAATTAAGGCTGAGACACGTGGTTCAGGTGAAGGTGCCATTTTATCTGAAAATGAAGCAGCAATTTATCGTGCAAAACTTTTTAAACAACGTCGCTTAGCAAAAGAGCGAATGGAAGAAGAAAAAAGGTCAGTATATATATATATATATATATATATATATATATATATATATATATATATATACTTTTAGCTTGTTTACCGTACGTTCTGTGGTACTGATAAATGTTATATCGGGTTATGCTTGAACAGTAGCAATAATAATAAGCTATGGATTGGAATATACAAAATGAGGGAATAGCAGCGAGAAATGTATATGAGAGGCTTTCTGAAAAAAACTCACTTTGACTATAAATATGCGAACATTCAGCAATCGTTCCAAGCCTGAACACCAGTTGTAGAGATAGTTTATTTTTAATGTTTAGTAGAAATCCACAAGCGCGGAGAAAGCTAGAACACAAGGACACGGGTGAGTGTGTGTGTTCTTATTATTTTACCTAGTTACTTACACCTGTTACTCCCAATGTATCTGTAGGCCGCCGACCCACTCTGTCCTGGGCATTCCTTTTTAGTTCTATCCAATTGTTGTTCATTCTTCTTATGTCTGTCTCCATTTCTCGGTGTAATGTGTTCTTTGGTCTTCCTCTCCTTTGGCCTTGAGGATTCTAATTGAGGGCTTGTCCCGTGACGCAGTTGGGTGCTTTCCTCAATGTGTGTCCTATCCACTTGCAGTGCTTCTTCCTGATTTCTCCTCGTCTGGGATCTGGTTTGTTCTCTCCCGCAGTAGTTTGTTACTGATAGTGTCTGGCCAACGGATCTGAAGTATTTTGGTGTAGACAACTGTTAATAAGCACTTGTATCTTCTGGTTGATGACCTTCGTAGTTCTCCATTTTTCCGCCTCATACAGTAGAACTGTCTTGACATTTGTATTTAAAATTCTGACTTTTGTGTTGGTTGACAGACAGTTGTTTCGAATTCCAGATGTTCTTCAGTTGTAAATATGCTGCTATTGCCTTTCCGATCCCCGCGCCTTCACATGTGCATCAGATCCACCGTGCTCATCAATGATGCTGCCCAAATATGTAAAGGTTTTTACATCTTCCAAATCTTCTCCGTCATTTGTGATTGGATTGGTGCATGCTGTGTTGTATCGGAGAATCTTGCTTTTTCCTTTGTGTATGTTGAGACCTAGTGCTGCTGAGGCTGCTACTACACTGGTCGTCTTCAGCATTTGTTATTGCGTGTGCGATAGAAGAGCAAGATCGTCTGCGAAGTCGGGATCGTCCAACTGCATCCTAGATGTCCACTGTATCCCGTGTTTCCCTTCAGATCTTGACGTCTTCATGATCCAGTCGATCACCAGGATAAAGAGAAAGGGTGGGAGTAAGCAACCTTGCCTGACACCGGTCTTTACTTCGAACGAGTTTGTCAACTGTACTCCATGCACAATTTTTTAGTTTAATCCATCATAAGAATTGTGTATGATATTGAATATCTTCTGAGGCACTCCGTAGTGTCGAAGAAGGTTCATAGTTTCGTTCTGTCCACGCTATCAATTGCTTTTTCGTAGTCAACGAAGTTGATGTAGAGTGACGAATTCAACTCAATCGATTGTTCCACAATGATCCGTAGAGTTGCGATTTGGTCTGTACACGATCTATTCATACGGAATCCTGCCTGTTTGTCTCGAAGTTGGGCATCAACGGAGTGTTTCATCCTGTTTAACAATACCCTGTTGAAGACTTTTCCTGGTACTGAGAGAAGAGTGATGCTCCCGTAGTTATCACACTTGCCGAGATCTCCTTCGGTATTTTGACCAGAATTCTTATACCTAGTTTTTATGTTAATTTAGGAATTCGTTAAGATAAATAATTCACCTGCATATTCAAACAAGTTTTCGTATACAAAATTACGTAACATCAATTAACTGTTGATCGGTAGTAATCCCTATATCCTTTTATTACTTTAGATTACTCGTGTTTGAACTAGTAATGTACTAGTTGGGCATAGAGTATTCCAAATTCCTGAGACCTCAGTTCCTCCTACACCTTATACAATACAATAGAATAGACTTAAGTGATAATTGTCGAGAAAGACCACATTCACCCAAAAAGGTTTAAACAATATACATGTATGCTGCTGAGAGTTTTTATGTAGTAAATGGTTTTATGTCTGTACATTAATTACCCGATGAACAAAAAGCCAACTCGTTCATATAGCACAATTCACCTTTAAGCATTGTCCAATATTATTTCACAATCTATTTGTTTAATATGATTTAGAAATTATATATATATTTTTAGACGATTGGAAGAGGAGAGTCGTAATCGACGAATCCAACAAGAGCAAGCTGGTTTAGCTGCCGAAGCTGAAGAAGCTCGTTTAAAAGAAGAACAGGACGCTCGTTTGGCTGAAGAAGCTCGTTTAAGGGAGGAGCAAGCTCTTCATGAGGCTGAAGAAGCTCAACGTGCAAAAGAAGCGGAAGAAGCCGCTAGGGTAATTATTATTTCTCTTTATCCTACCATTTCTCTATGAAGATAAATAAGAGTATTTCATGTTCTATGATTATCGAAACTATTATCTATTTACTCTTAATATTAATTTCAATCAAGATTTTCATCTTGAATTACAATGTTAAATAGTTCCAGTTTGCATTTAATTATCAAGCACAAGTTCCAGAATTTTTAGTGTGGCATATAATCTCTAATGTCTGAAGTAAACTAAAAATCAGGTTGTACACATTTATGTAGGTAAGAGCTTCCAGTTCTCGTGTAAATATCTTGATTGATTTACAAATAACCTGTATTATATTTCAAAGATGTAATTATTTGACTTTATCCAGTGTAAACGTAATGTAATTTAGTGAAATATTGGTTTTTGTAACATAATAAAATAGCTTTTAATTCTATTGGTTTTTACCATATCGCTTTTTATTTTGTACACGAAGAATGTACTTTAATATAACATAAATAATCTTTTTAGTACTTGTTTAATTATGGCTTTTTAAAACTCTTGGATTAGTTTTCAATGTCAAAGCATTAAATGTGATTTCGATGGTTACTACTTTAATGTGTAATAGTATTCTCATTCTTTTGTACTATAATTATTTTAGCTTCAAGCAGAAGAAGCAGAGCGCCTTGCAAAATTGCAACGTAGTGAAGAAGAAAGAGTTTTACGCAAGAAAAAGTTGGACAGTATTATGTCTCGTGTCAAAAGACCAATGAAGTTAACATCTGAGGCAACTAGTGAATCTGGGTCTACAACCAATCTTCAATCAACGGATACCACACAGTCATCTTTAGTGCCTGATACTACTTGTGCTTCGCCTGATAGAATCGTTAACCAAGAACCAACTATAGGTGTTGAAGCACCTAAGGTGGAGATCAATCCATCAGAGATTTATGAAACTTCTAATGACAGAGTCATTTTTACTGTTGACGGTGGAAGGGTGAATGAATCTTCGGTAGGTTTATATTTGAAATAGATTTATATAACTTACGGTGGCTCACGAGTTTAGTTCTATGGCTAGAGAAACGTGAGTTTGAACGATACTGCACCTACAGAGTTTTGCACTTCTGCAAAAACATCAGTTTGGTTGCTAATTGTTATCAAATTTAGACGTTTTTGCTACCGACTCTTGTACATTTACAGCGCGACATTTATTCTCCGCTGATGCTTGCCAACCAACATAAATATTTTAGACTATTGGTAGCGTATTTCCTTTTCCACGTAAACAGATCACTGATTTGGAAGCCATTTATTAATTTGTATTTAAATTAACAATGCTAAGTAGAGGTCTACTTGAAGATCTGGGTTACCTGTACCTTTCATCTAAATATCTTATAAAGTTATCTGCATTCTGTTCGTTTTAACACGTCATTATGTCTATTAATCGCATAACCTATTCAGGAGCGTTTATGAAAAGCCTACGACCTTTCTCTGTAGAAGTCACAAGATGTACAGAGACATCGCGTGGCTGGCATTATGCATTGAGAAAATGAACATTATCTAAGTGTCGATTCCTGAAATTCTAACATCTAACTGACGATTACTCAACATTTATCATCAGAATCCATCAAGAAATAAGAAAACGAAACTTGTTGAAATACTTTGTGCTGAGAATTCTAGATTGTACCAAAAATATATTGAATAAGGCCATGAATAATAATAAATAATAATAATTCAGCTGAATCCTAATACTTAAATCTTGATTGATATTTCTTTATAGAGAATATCCTCAATAAATTTGAAGGAATAAAATTAATCGTTATACACATTTTGTGTTATTTGATTACAGTCTTCACTTAATGACGAATCTGTCAACCAGTCATCTTTTTCACACACAATTACTGAAAACGATTTGAAAAATAATGTAAATAACGCTTTTGAAGATCTCGTCTCCAGTACTACTATTACTACTACTACCATCAATGGAAAGTCGAACAATAATAACAATTCACCATTAAGTAATGTGAATGATGCAGAAGCAACAACACAAGTGACAAGCAATTCAGATTTGACAATGATAAGGAATAGTTCAAGTGCTAGTCATAGAACACCACAATTCAAATCTGCGTTATTGCAATCTATGCTAGGCGCAGGTCGTTTGTCTGCACATGCTAAAGATGCTGTTGCTGGATTAAGGTGAATCACCATTTTTCTTCTGACAAAAGGATCGTATATTTGCACTATGCATTATGGATTCATATTTTACTCTTTCATATATATATATATATATATTATCAGAAAGCGTTATGTTTACTCTAATGAAGGGTCATTCAAAAAAGGTGTACATCAATAACGGTGATTTAAGAGTACAATAAAATAATACCACCGACATATTAAGTGGATAAACGTAATCAAGAGTGATTGTCAAAATAGCAACTTAGTAATGTTGAGTTAGTGTCTTCAATTTTTTTTATAAAATAATTTGATATGTATACATATGCGAATTCAGATTGTGTGTACCATTCGGTTCATTATTTATTTTAGTGGCTCTAAATCTGATTCCAGTTATATCGTATGATTGAATGTTATCAAAATATACATATCGTCAATCCTTGTATATTATAATCGACTTAATTCGCGTTAGTAAGTGAATGAAAACGAAGTTTAAATACGTATTTATTCATACAATCGTTGACTTGAACAGACAATCGATCGGAGAAACGAAGCGAAGAAAATGAAGCGAAATGGCGCGCGGTGGAGAAGGCGTGTGAACCAACACGATTTAACCAAGCATGAATCGATATTTATAGTCAGATAAAAATAAGTTACAGACATGTGATGAGTAAGATAGAAAATTCACACACATATACTTACTTAACAACAATCAAAGCTGACAAGCGAATAATTAACAAGGTTAAAAAGTGACTCAAGAAGAATGAATAAACTGACCTGTTCGGAAGATAGAATAAGCTGTGTGGACTTGCATAACACTATACTATCTGTTTCTCTAATCTTTTACGATCAGTTTGATGCGTGTCGCTACCTCCTTGTACTTATATCTTGCGTGCTCTTACCGGTTCCCTGCAAATCATAACATCATTGTACTACGCCTTACGATATCTTGTTCGATTCATTGTTCACTGAAGCAGCCGGTTTACTTTTCATAAAGCATTCTACCAAATTACGTCACTTGTTGAGGGCTAATTTCTTCTATATCTGACTCCAATAAATGATATCCCGTTAACTAAATATTTAGGGTAGGCTAACTCTCCTAGTAGAATTATGGATTTACTGGAGATTATTCAGAGCCCTGAACACCAGTTGTAGAGATATTTTATTGTTCAAGATAAATAAAATCCACAAGCGTACAGTGAGCAAGCACAATGAAACGAAGAGAATGTGTGAGAGTTAAAAAAACTTGTAGACATATTTATCCAAGTTCTATGTTGCCTATGATTAACCTGATTGAAATAATTCACAATATTTGTTCATCTCCTCAACTTTAATTTTAATTCCTACCAATGAAATTTTTCTAGTTGATGTTATGCTCTGCTTATTGTTGCTATTGTATTTTAATTCATTATAAATTTTATTAGTTTAAACTAATTTTATATTATTTTCAATTGTCAGACGTAATTCTTCTCAAATACAAAATGATCACAGTACAAATGATAATTGGCCTCAACATCATGAACATAGTGATTCTACTGTGTCTAGTTTCTATTCAGTTAATAGTACACTTATTCAGGACTCTGGTGATTCTGTAAATATAAACAATAGTTCTTCAAGTAAACTCAAATTGTTGTGTTTTATATCTGTATTTTATAGATTTCATTTAAATTATCTAAAATTTATTGAATATGGTTTATGAATTAGTTGTTACATAATAATAAGGACAATACTCTGTAATACTTAAAGTAATTGTTGGACGTAGTCGACAGAACACCCAGCTTGACTTGGGTTTTTCCCATTTGACACTCATCAGCACGGTGTACTTGTAACCTAAAGGGAACTGTTGCTCTCTGGCGAATTCGATACTGTATCGAGTTACTACATTTTTCGTTACTTAATAATCAATCACTCGTAAATAAATCTCAGCACTACAAGAGATCCTTGTGGCCTGAATAGCTCAGTGGTAACGTCTGACTATGAAGCTGAGGGGTATGGGATCGAAACTTCCAGAGAGCATTAGTTGCTTCGAGATTACCGGTACGCTACGATGACGAGTACCAAATAGGACGAAACCCATGTCCTGCAGGGTTCACTGTCGACTAGCCCCAAACACTATCTTACCTCTCAACATAATGCAAACGTTGTTGTGACACTTAGATTAGTTATTTGCTTATTTAAACGCATAAACATTGGTACAAGAGGGCACCAAATACATATGCATGTTATGTTTCGTTATTGCTTGAATGCGATTACTGATGCGTCTTACTCGAACGAACGAAGGATCAATGATTCAGCGACTCGATAGACTATTCTGGTCCGTTGTCCCCAACTCTGCTAACTCGATCAAGAAGTTTGGGTAAGGTGTAGAAAGTGTATTCTACAGACAAACAGTAGATAACAAGTCAGGCAGGCAGATCAGATCAAGCATACAAGTCAAGCGTATTTATACAATTATTTACAATCGATATTGTCATAGAAGATTTTTGAACATTAATCAACAATTGACTGCTATTTGAACATTCAATCGATAGTTCATCAATTGACCTATTTGTACATTTAATTGATAGTTCATCAATTGACCTATCTGCACATTTAATCGATAAGTAAATTACAAAATTTGAGTTTTGGGGATCTATCGTCCCCAACAATTCACCACACAAATCACTTGATTTTTGTGAGGGATAGAATACTGCCCGGGTGCCCAAACTGAAGCAAGTGGTTTTCTTAGGGAGCCACCCTCCGTGCTCTTGACCTGGAGGTCTTATCCACAAGGTAATGGAGTGACGTTAGGAGATGCAGTCCCATAGTAGCCAGTGACCAACAATACGTTCATACGCCATTTCCTTCAGGATACTGGAACCCATGTACACCATTAGTTTGAAAGCAGGATTTTCCAATTCCTTCAGATGGTTCTCCGTATCTACTAACTCGGGTAAAGCACCAGACATTCTCTTTTCGTCCTCTCAATCTCCTAAACAACACCCCCGCCACGAGAAAGCAGTGAGTAAGACTTCCCTGACAGTGACTGTATACGCGTAGCCATGTGGGAACATTTGGAGAGGGAGAGTGGATTCTCCACACCCTCGATCACACCAGGGCATTTAGGGATTGGTAACCACGGTGCGGTCGATAGAATTTGACTAGCACTAAGAAGGGTTTGACATACATGTTATTGGTCACTACTCAATGATCAATCAATTTGTAAAGCTCTGCAACATCGTGTTTCTATGACTTCAGTACATTATAAGAACATATTTTAAGTAATATGTTTCTTAGTATTCCACAGTGCACTTTACTTATAGTGGATTATCTGTCAATAAATAGTACAATAAAAAGCTTTCCATTTTCATACTTGTTTATACTCATTAGTAAGATGTATCCATGATCACGCGAGAATTCATTCATATACTCTGTCCGAAGTTCAAATACGTTGTCCAGTGATGGACAGATATTATTACGAACTAGTGCGACTATGAGTGATTAAATATGGATCACTTAAATATGTATATATTTCAGGACAAAATTGTTTGATTTCCTAATTTGTCTGTTCTTCATCTCTGTCATTCCAGCGTTTTCGTTTACCATTTTGTATTCCACGTGTTTCCGTCATAGAATTTAAATTGTATTTGTGAATTAACCGCTCCCTGAGAAAGTCCAGCGCCATTGCAAACGATTTTAAGCCATGTCATTCAAGGTCTCTAACTATCGGTTGCTGTCATCTCGCATCTTGCATTAAACATTCCTTATGCATTTCTATCGATAAAAATAATTATTATATTGTATCCTGGAATTACTTATTTCCTTATTACTGGTCACCAAATTATTTAAATATTTTGCTATCAAAAGTAGTCAAGAATACTATTTTGGTTTTCTTATACTTTATTTTATCTTCAGTTATGCATTCTGTGCCGGACACATCTAGGCATTATCAGCATGATCTACCTCACCTTAATGGATCAAAGTAAGATGAAAGTTGTTTGGTTGTTTTTTGAGTGATACCAGTTACTTAATGTCACTATTTTATTCATAGTAAATTTTAGTGGTAAGGGTCCTTTTGGTGCATAGTTCACTATAGATCTCAGTTAATTGCTGCCAGAGTATCCCAATTACCAATAGTTCAGTCTGTTACAAGAATAGAATTTCATTTGAGATTTATTCTTTCCTGTGTTCTAATCTATTTATTAAAATGTAACTAAGTTACCAAGCAGAGGCTTTCGGTCTCAGTGTATTTGTGTCTGATTCACTCATGTTCTGTCGATTCCCTCTCATATGCTCTTCGAAAATGTACGTGTACGCTTCTGCATCAGGTTCTGCACTGACGTTTACCCGTTTCATTTACGGTTTATTCCTTCCTTTCTGAAACTATTGTCTGGATGAGTAACTAATCACTATTTTATGCATATCCAAATGACTTTTTAATTACACATCTTTTCCAAACTTCCAACGATTAAAGCTTTTCTAGGGGATATTTTTGATGGGGTCTAGCATCGAAATCTTGAGCTTAAAAATCATCAGCTGAGTCAGTCAGTCAGCTACAACGTAGGACCAGGAACATATATGGATCGGTCCAAGTCGCCATACCGCATTAGCACACCAAGATGAACACCGGATTCATAGGAGCAGTTAAGTCAATTGTGATAATATATAAAAGGAAGATTGCATATAAGGATATAGTACAGGAAGAAAGAATTAGTTCGTAGAAAGAAAGATATGGAGCGATTTTAATCTCTTAGTTTAAGGGAAGACAGAGAATGTATACACCTACACCATTGTGACCTATTCTGTGCCATGTCACCAAAAGTCCCTAACTATTGGTTACGATAGTCACGCGGACCCCAACCAGGTTGTTTATTGTGTCTTCAAAAATGTAGCTAACTCATCTCTTACCTCTTCCTCCACTATAACGGTATGGGAATAATACATATTCAATATATAATCAGAATATAGTTGCTTGGTATTACTAGATACTATGTAAATTCTGGTTATATTCTTTAGCCACGTCGAAAGATAACAGCAACATCTAAATCCCACAACGTATCTTTCCTAGTTCCGGCTACTCTAAAAACTGATCGTGCAAGAAGGACTAATGAGTTGAGACTAACTCAGATTGATTTAAATGAACATCATGAGCATAAATACATTTACAACGTCCTAAACATAGGTTGAAAAGAACCACAAAATAATAAGGAATTAGCGTCTTTTGTCGGGGTAAAAATAGAGGATAGCTGTCGTGAAAAAATTCGGATTTTTCACCGTTTTTAGATCGTCGTTCACTTTATACACTCAGTGAAGAAGAAATAAGTTAGTATAGTCTATTTCTTACACAGTTATCACTCAACCGCATCAAACCAAACCCCCTACGCTATCAGTAGAACATTATTTTGACTGGCGAAACGCACCTATTGTTATTATAACACTCAGAGCAGTATTCATGAAGTTCGCATTCTCGTCCTGTCCTTAAGGTAGATTACTTCACATAGTAATCATAAGACTTCATTTTTTTTCGACTGAGTGACGTGATAATTTGTATCAGCACACAATTGTGTATCTAGCATAAATTCTCTCATAAAGATAAATTGTAAAAACCAATTATTTAGCATAAAATTATCTTCAACGATTCCATTTCTCAGTATGGGGTTGTGGAGATTAATAAGTTTTTGATTGAGATCATGAACCAATTGATGTGAGACCATTGGAAACCTAAAAGCTCACTAGTGACTAGCTTCGTGAGGGAATTCTCGGAGTTCTAGTGAGAAGCCATGACCAGTGGAGCTAATGCGTGTCCTGTAGGCAGGTGTCTACCTCATTACATTGGAAGATGGTCGCGCAATTTCGTGGATTGATTGAAGTTAGACATTAACACCGTTGGATACTGTCTCAAGTGGTCTGCTGAGGATTACCACAACAGGATGAAACGGCTGTCCAGTATTTCCAGGTTTTCAACGGTGGTCTAACATCAATCAGTTCATGATCTCAATCAAAATTCCATTTCTCTGTGTCAGTGTAATGAGGGAAAACTTGGTTAGAGCAAACAGATTTATTGTTTCTAGCAAAATCACATTGCATTTGTAAAATATATTAACAATACATTGAATATACCATTTCCCCATCTTCCTTGAACTGCCTCCTAGATACTCAATCGTTCTTCCATTCCTGTTTCTTCTCAGACTACTTCTGTTTTTTTTTCTTTTCCTCTTCAGTCAGTAAAAATCCTACTACCATACATACTGCTTATATGTATCCGTATAAGTAGCACACACCACGATAGCTCTTTGAGCGCAGGAGTGAAGAGACATCCTCACTTTTCTGCATAATATCAAAATCTATACTTTTTTTTACTTCGTGTTTGTTAACTGGTAACTTATAAATAGGTGAATAAATGTAAATGGATAACTTAGGAAGTTATTTTCCTATAAATAAGTTTATTTACTTTTTATATGTATTCACTTTAATAATCGATTCTTGATATGTTTTGGTAGTGCAGTAATTGAAAGTTTCCATTTGACCAATTTCCTGTTACTATATCTCTTCTACCATTCACAACTTACTATTTATTATTAATAAGCATGTTATTAAGATTTTGCACTGTAAATGTCCCTATTTTTGTGCGTATTGTGAATTATCATTCATGGTGCATCCATGGTCTTGTATTTAATGTATCAATCACATGAGGATTAAAGTTAGAATAATACAGTATAGTGTGAATTATGAGTATCGTTTTCTTGATGTTCTAATTAATGGTTGGTTTGCAAAAATAGATTAGTGAATATGATATGGGCTGCCAATTATCTTGGCATATACACTAACTTACTAGTGTTAACTAATGTATAGTTGACAGAGCATAACGAGAAGTAATTCATAATGGTAATTATCCATGATATTTCATATCGATTCATTAATTTCGTTGTTATAATAATATTGACTTTATTCAAGATTATGTGTTTAGTACAATATTGAGTTCTCAGTATATAGCTGTTTTCAATAATCGACCACTGGCAACACAGAATAATCCTAATAGGCACCAGTTTCTGATTCAAATAAAAATTAAGTTTTAATAAAGTGTTTAGTGTATTGTATGTGCCACCTATTAATTTTACCATTCTAGATAAAACATATTGCATATTATTTTCATTTCTAATGCAGTGTTATGCAGAAGTCTGGTAATCCTGTATATTTGTGGTCGGAAGATCCTGATCATGAAGTTTCCAAACCCGATTCATTGTCTTCTGTTCCTCGTAAGTGACAGTAGATTGATTTGCCCTAGTTTATTATAAGCTTAGTATCTCTGTTTATTCACAAATAATTTATGTTTTGAAATGTAAGCGTAGTTTTTCTTATCAAATCTCTATAGTTTTGTTTATCTACATACTCATCCTTCATTTTGTGGGTCACTGATTCCAGCTCCTTTTCAATCAACATTAGTCTTAACATTCGCTTTTTCCCCGTATCCATCACAGATGTTTTGCTAGAAACGCAGTACACAAATCCATTTAAAGAAAAATAGCCATACCCCTCACTGTATCTGCTAGTTTGATAGACGGAGTGTCAGCTTAACCTTATCTGTGATTTGAATGAAGCAGGCAATCAGATGCATACTATGTGCACTGTTTTCAACTCAATGAATGCACCTACTCTACTATCTGAATAAAACACAAATGTAGAGATAAGATTTTCTTCCTACCTGATAATGAACTAAGTGGTAAGTGACTTTCTGTTTTTTTACAACTCAGAATCTCGAATTGTTGGTGAATTGTCCTCATCGGTATGATGAAGGAATATTAAAGATGCCACCTTTGTTTATTCAGATCTAAACAATATATGCTATGAACATCGATATGATTATTTTTTTAGTTTACATTTTAATAAATAACTAAAGTAGACATTGTATGCTCAATTTTAAGGAGCCTCAAAAACTATATCCAATTTTAAATTCATCAACTGTCACGACTAATTACAAACACTCAACTTGATTGGTATTTCGACTAGTTTATCCAAATGGAACACAATAAAGTTGCTTATTTCAACTGAGACTACAGTAATCATCAAACATTCAGCAATGTTATACGACAAATTAAAACTTTACATTACAGATTTATTAGTTGCTGTTGTCAGCTTTTTTTATAAGTCTTAGGTGTAACTAAATTTGAATGTCTAGTTGAGTCACCATTCTATTTAGAGAATAAGAATGAAACTAAATTATTTTAAAGATATCTGAAACGACTAGATGTTATACCCATAATGACTCAGTATTCTGAACTATACCACAGAACGTTCAAAGTTCTTTTTGCTGAAGATCTGTAGGCGAACGACGCGATAAAGGAGCTTTAACTAACTCATTAGTACGGCTGAATGGTCCGTTTCATGGATCCAGTATTAATACACAAAAAAGTATGGGCAAGTAACACCACACATTAAAGTGATTGTGAAAGGTCGTAGAAAAAGATTAATGCTTGACTACGTACATGGAATGGTACACATAGTCCACATATTTAAATATGTTAAACTTTCATAAAAATTTGGAATTGTAAGTAACATCCATATCTACATGAAATTATTAGGTCGTTTTATCAATGTACACGATTTCAATATTTGCCATTACATATACGAGTCTTTCATCAATGTACATCTACTAAGTCACTTATTCATGTTTCATAAAGTACATCAGTCAGTAATAATAACAAAAAGTTGCGTTCAATTTTCCTTCGTCTAATTCACTTCATCCACAAACTGAGTCGTCGCTGAATATTCAATAATTTTTACTGTTCCATTCACTGATTAATAATTTATTCATAAATTCAAATATATTTTTACATTTACCATCTCCCTTTTCTTTCTTTTCACAGTCGATACATCAACTCATTGAATTTTATTGCGACTCGAAAAATCACACATGTATTCGTGAAATATAAAAGTTGGTGAAACTTTAATTCAAATGCTTCCATGCTTCTACCTAACTAAATTGATCCATCTTACTGTGTATTATTCTAAGCTTTCCAAGTGATTAACAAACATTGATTCCACTAAGTAGTTTTTGCTCTGTACTCTCTCTTTCTCAACCCCGTCTATCACTACATATATACATAAACATGAAATTTTATTCCATTTTTTATTTAAAAAAAGAAAATTAGTAAGAAAAACTCATTTGCACAGTTTTTATCGCAGTTCCCTATTTAACATGTACATTGAGAGCTGAAGACTGTGCACACCTCCGTGTGTATTGATTCAATTTATTTGTTATTATTTAGTTATGATGATAGTAATCATAAGATACCTCTTCGAATCTTTTTTCATCGCTATTCCAGTTGTTAATTCTGGTTGTAAATTGTACAATTTTATGACTGATTAGTTGATTGATTGGTATTACATAATCAACATTAGATTTTGTTTCATTTTGACTTACTACTACTGTTTTGACATTATGCTTTCTGCGACACGACTAGTCAAATCCACTAAATACTCGGCGGTGCTGTATTTCTATTCAGAGAGCTCTTGATTTAGTTCATTTAGTGGTGTTGACTAACAGTGACACAAAAAGCATAATGTCAAAACAGTAGTAGTCAATCAAAATGAAACGAAATCTAATGTTGATTATGTAATACCAATCAATCAACTAATCAGTCATAAAATTGTACAACTTATTTATATAGTTTTATGATTAATCCTATGATTCGTTTTCTCCTTGCCAATCAAAGTTTTATCTCCTTGTTATTGCTTCTGTTTATTTGATGGTATACCAAGTAATCCTGTAATTTTGTAAGCTATACTTCGTGTATCCTCCCCTTCCCTAATACTGAAACAACCTACTACTGTCTTCCTTATATATCCTTTCTTTCCCGGTACACGCGGATGAGTGCCATAATACTTCTTTATAAACAGGTGAAGATTTCTTGTTTTCATGTGTCATATCCACGGTCCCCAGTACATAAACCTCTTGCTAGTTTTTTTGCACAGTTTTGCTGTTGTTCATTCACTGATGCTTTATCCGATATTTATGCGTGTGCCTGTACGCTTGTCCGCATTTTATATACCTGTAGGCTATGTGAAAGGAGCAAGACTATTTAACTTTTGTCTATCATATACTTCAATTGGTCATTCTTATTTATGATAATGATAGTAATTATTATTATTATTTTTAAACGTTTGGTTAATTTTATCTCATTCTCTTCTCTTCATTTTCTCTATTTACATAGCTCCGTTTTAACTCTTATCCGTCATTGTCTATAATTTATTTATAATAAAAGAAATAAAGATTCATTAGTGACAATAGTGATGAAAATGACTATCTTTTTATATTACGCTTGTTGACCAGTATTTTGGCCTATCCTCCTTATTGTGTATAAAATGTTCTAAACGAATTGAAGCACATAATTTACAAACTGTTAAGTTGTGCGCTACTTCTATTATGTACGTGTTGGCTTCGTTGTATCCACGGTCCTATTGCATATACTTAGAAACGAGAATCACTGCAATTCACACTACGCAAAATGAATACTGTTTTGATTTTAATTTGATGTCTATCATAAGGTCAAATGTTTAGGATATGAGCTCTTAGGGAGTTTTAAATTTATGTTAATATTGTCACAAGGGTGTGTTGTTAAGTAATTTAAAAATTTATTAATTAAGAAAATGGGTCATTCAGGAAAAAAACAAAAGAATTCAAACAATTTTTACTCAGAATATTCTGATTTTATTTCCCAGATAACAAATAGTCTACTCTTGACTTAAACTATTCCATTACACGTAGTGATTTAATACATGCAATTAAATCAGAGAACCTGGCACCCGGATTTAAGTCACACGTGAATTATGGCAATCTATTGAAAAATGAAATTCGAACACACGCCTATCTTACTTCCGTTATAAAAACCTAGTGAAAATACACAAAAATTATTGTTCAAAAGTTTACCTATTCACGCTAAATATCCATATCGGCAATAATGCATAAATCACAACTGTATATTTCGTCTTTTATTATATAGAGAAATGTTTCCGAGATCATTTATACATTGTGTTAACTTAATCGTACAGAAAATTTAATTCTATTAAAAATATTTCATATCTGATTAATTTGTATCAATGTAACAATTGAAGAAATTAGAAATAATAGTTTTCTAATATTTGTGTATGTATGAGCATAAATTAGTTGTTTAAACAAAACGTGTTATCTCATTATCTTTGACATAAATTGTTCCGTTTTAAATTCATGGGGACGAAACAGACACGTACTTATAGGCATTCACATACAAATGAGAAATGATGACCAGTAGTTGAAGTGGAGCGTAGATAATAAAAAAGACCACTCAGGTTTGAAGCAGTTAGAAATAACCGTTCCTTGTACATGGAGAACAACAGAAATCATTTAATATGTTGGGAGGGTAGCTAGAAGTAGAATTTAAGACACATTTCATCCTATTCTGCACTCAATAGCTAGATATATCTGGATTTCGGAGTTGATGTTCACATTTAGACTTAGTGAATCACATTTCGGTATATGAAGTGGAAGATACTAGGTTCGAGTCTCAGTGCAAGCATCAACAATAGGATACAGATACATCCAACCGACGACTCCCAAATAGGATAGGACGTACGTCTTGGATCCCACTGTTAGCCATAAAATGATATACTAAGACATGTAATAAATGGGTGTGTTGAGACAATCATTCACGATGTAGAAAGATAGACTAAAATATGGATAATTTATGATTACATTTTAAATCTAGGTGGAACTTTCACTAGCTCATCAGTTAATTCTAGTTTCTGGCGAAAAGTGAATATGAATTGTATAATTTCTGTATATTAATTTCTTTAATAATAATCATTATGTGAATTCCTGATTTCTTAGTAAGAGACTGCCATAAGTGGTATGTTGAAATTGAGACTGATATAATCTAATGTATGACAGTAACGATGCGCTATACAAGTAATTAGACGAATTCGGAAATTTGAATCACTGAATTTCCATTTAATAGTATTCTTTCAGTGAGAATCAAAAGCTCTGTGTTCGTGAGTGATAGAGTTCAAAATACGTCTCATTAGTCTGGATAGATTTGTATTATAGATGATGTCAGTTGCTGGAGAAAACCCAATAGAGTTATAACTAACAACACTAGTCCAACTTCTAGAACGTAAATTTAATATTTTTAGTATACGGTAACTAGGACTTAGATATGATAAGAATTGTTTGTCATATTAAGAGCGGTATTTCACTGTAATTTTATTGCTTCCTAACTGTTTTACAGCTAGGCCGCGTTTTCCGACTGGTTTCTCGAGGTAGTCAGCATACCAGCTGTATTATAAAGACAGTTCACTTCATAGTTCAAGTAATTTCTAATTCCATTTCAATAACCTGGCAACATGTGGAATATTCATAGTCAACAGTGGTACTCAAAGTATGATATTACATAATAAAATTTTCTGATTAGTTTGAAATGATCATAAGTAATCCATGTGTAGAACGACATTGGCAAAACATCGAAAGATGTGTTTAGAAATCGACGGTTGATTACGGTCAGTTCAATTTGGTTATAATAGGAGCTAATGAGCTAATAGATACAAATAAAGTAGGTAGATTCAGTGGTTCATCATCACAAAATATAATCGAAACAGTAAGTACACAGAAGAACTTATTCAAAGAAATGTGGTATGAAAATCGTTTATTTTTCTAATGATAAGACGGGTGACGTTCGAACATACTTTCCTGATTAATTTGCGTTGAATCGTGGATAGGTTAACAATATCTCCGCTTTAACAAGATTCCGATCTCATGGTATTCACAATGAATAGTTCTGAAAATTCATTTTCAAACAGTTCATTTTAGTTAAACTATCTCAGACAATAATAAAACATTTGTGCAAATGGTGAAACTCTAGACTTCCTATCACAAAACTTATATTCCGAACAGATCCAATCAAAGAGACCATCATAAATTGATTCGAAACTCTTATTATCAAATGACATTACGCAATAATCAAGGAGTAAGAGAAGAATATAAGGATGGGAATAGTTTCTGGGTCAGAATTATGAAAGGTAATATACTCAACATACAAACATAAATACGAATATACAGCCTAAGTAAATGGTTTCGTCGAAAAGAATATTTTTTTAAAGAGAGTAAGAACAAAGGTTGGTGCAGAATAATATGAATTCATTTTATTTCGTTAGGTTCTCATCAGCTGCTTACAACCTAAAATATTTGAAATTCAACGTTATTATAGATATTGACATACTTATACAACAGAGGGCGATGAAGGATGAATATATGTAACATAATGTGGTAAAGATTTCGTTAGAGTTAATGAGGTCATAAAATTTTTTGTTTCGAATATATAGAGTTTGGGAGGGAAGGTTCCAGAAAATTGAAATAGTGATTAGAAATCATGGAATTAAAACACAATAGACGATTATGTAATGAAGTAACTGAAAATAGATTAATGTTAATAAAGAGAGATATGAATTGAAATTGGTCAGTTATGAATGATGTAATTATAAAATTCAGAAAGAGTTGAAATGACGTAATAAAAATAAATAAAATAAAAGGGGGTGGGGTGAATGTTACCAGGGTAAAGAAAGATTTATTACTGTTTCTTTTTGTATACAAAGATCTGGTTTTAAACGTTTGATTGCTATTGCTTCCGCGAATTTCAAAAGGTTTGAATTTGATTGTTTGTTGATCACCCTGAAGGACTTCAGTATATCGACTTCGTGTCCTGTGTCAATGAGATGTCTTGCGACAGCGCTGCTGAATGCTTTTAGTCCGTTTGATCTCAAACTCTTCGGAATATGTTCTTTGAATCGGACGTAGGCTCTCCTTTCTGTTCTACCAATGTAACTGCTTTGGCAGTTACATTACATTACATAATCGTCTATTGTGTTTTAATTCCATGATTTCTAATCACTATTTCAATTTTCTGGAACCTTCCCTCCCAAACTCTATATATTCGAAACAAAAAATTTTATGACCTCATTAACTCTAACGAAATCTTTACCACATTATGTTACATATATTCATCCTTCATCGCCCTCTGTTGTATAAGTATGTCAATATCTATAATAACGTTGAATTTCAAATATTTTAGGTTGTAAGCAGCTGATGAGAACCTAACGAAATAAAATGAATTCATATTATTCTGCACCAACCTTTGTTCTTACTCTCTTTAAAATAATAAAGGGAACTATGTGTATGAAAGAATATTTTTGCTGAATTCTCTCTTTTTATTCAATGACAAAATGGGTTATTTTAATTATCTAATGACCATCATCTTCATTTTAAACCCTTCTTACTAGATATGGCTTCAGTTTTTACTCTTGTATACACCTTTACAAAAAAATAGTCAAATTTTGAGCAAAACAACGATCACGAAAGAAATTGAAAAACGAGTCAACCCAATGATCACTTTCATTGGTTAGTTAGTTGAATCACATTGTATGTACAAATATATTATTCCCGTCACCTAGAATCTACCCAGTGCTCAATTTTTTCGGAAAACAATTAATGATTTTGAAGTGGCCGGGATAGTGTTAAAAGTAATGATCAGAATTAATATATGTAGTTAAACTGAATTCACTACATTCATTCAAATGAGTTAATAAGTTCATCAAAGACTGATCAATAAAACTGTTGTTTTCATCATCTTTGTATTTGGATCTGTGTGTATTGACTGATATATATATATATATATATATATATATATATATATATACTAGAGAAAGGTTAATACAAAATTTGAGAAACCAAAATAAACAAACATGGATTGAAAATTTAACATTGATATACTTGAATTCAGACATGTTTATACATACGATTGTATCAGTTACAACAGTAAAGATTCGCGTATTTGGTCACGTTCGAAATTCATCCATAATTAAACATAAATTTAAATGAAGTACTTGCGATTATAATTTTGAAGCATAAAGTCACGGATTACATTTCGCTGATAGATGTAATGAAATTGCTATAGCTGGCGATAATATTTTTTAAAAATTTTGCTCAGTCATCGATTCACTAATTATTGATTGGCTAACAAGATCATTAGTTACTTAGATGATTTGTTTCAGAAGTTTGAGAGTATCTTTTTCTAACGATTGTTCAGAATATGATTTAATTTTAGGTGGAATTAAAAAGTATAGGACATATTAACGTTTTAGAATAAGCTGTTTGTAGTAAACAAAATGTTGAACAATATCCTATTGATACTCTGGAAATCTGTCCTTTGTTGGATTGCATAATATTCGATGAGCGCCAAACGTCGGTGTAATCTAGAACCAAGATAACATGTGACTAAAAGACGTTTCCCAATCTGTTATGTGTCGGATGGAAAAGTAAACCGTGATTGGTTGATGAACGAACACAGACAGATTTGTTATCCTCATTGTAATACATACCGGTTCTCTTTTGTGCTAAATCATAATATACATTTTTTCTGTCCATATCTTTCTCTTGATCGATGCTAGTGCATCAGTTGATTACGCAACATCGGCGTTTTAACAGAACCACAGCCAGTGGTTAAAGCGTACGACTAAGTGGAATAAAAGTTTTATTACAAATTGTAATAAGGTATGGAATCAATAGAAACCAAGATACACAGGACAGCTGCTCACAGCTCTTCTACAGCGTACAATTATCCGTACGCGTAGAATTTGTGAAATGAAATTTACACATTGGAAGGACATATTACAACTGTACAAGGTGTTATACGTATGTACTCAGAGGTAGAATATTTTTCAATGATTACAACTTTATCTATGAAAAAACCCAAGTAAACCTAATGAATTTATAAAATGTGTTCAGTTTACACCTATATATCTTATATTTGGTTTATGTAAATTTTAATCAGCCCCTAATATCGCATAATTTAAGGCCTTTCACTTTCAATTCAAGTTTATACATTTATAAATTGTAGCGAATGTAGAACTGTAATCAATATAAAATTAATAAAGGTCCATTTTTTCCATCACTCTTCAATTGCTGATATGTGGTAGTTAGAGTAGAGTGTGATTGGTTACTGAGCGCGAAAAACAGACAGTTAGCCTACTGACTATTAAATATGTGATTTCCTTTACTTTCATTGATTTCTACTCCGCGATCACTGAGTACGACTGTTTGTGATTATGTTGAGTAGAGTATTATTTAGTCTATACTGGGGTCGTTAATCTTGGAT